GAGTACGGATCATGGATTCGGAGAGAACGAGCTGACAAATGGAAATGCACGATGACTCCATCTGACTGCATGGCGCCAGAGCCACACTCGCACATCGAGGGTGATCAGATGGACATTGACATAGTTGCTGGCAATGTTATATGTAAAAGGGTTGCGATTATCATGAGAATATGTTCGGCACGAAAGGTTCGCTGCGTATGCGAGTCCGTCGAGCAGACTGTGTTCTTCGAGCATCCCATGATGCAGAATGCGGTCGTGGAGCTCGGCTATTTCTGCACTGCATCGCACATGTGCAGGTGCCCTCCTCATCTCTCCATCGCTCCTCCTCATCCTCGTCGCCTCCTCCTCATCGTCATCAATATCTTCCTTCTCCTTCCCATGATCATCCATATCCTCCTCCGCATCTCCATCCTCTTCCCTCCTCCTCATCCCCCTCCGTGTCACTCTCATCCACATGCGTCTCCTCCACCGCCTCACCCACCTTCCAGAGGTTCTGGGGTGACGACGTGCCGCGAGGCGGCCCTGCGACGTTGCGCATCTGGGGATCGCCGTGGTGGGTCATGTCGTTTGGCCTCGCGTGCACGTGCGACGCAAGGCACATGCCGACATCGGCGCGGGGGTCAATGCACTGCTGGGGGCCTGATGTGGGATTGTAATGGGAGTGGCCTGAATGGGTCGCGTTCAGTTCGGCGCGCCGATCTGAACTCGACTCATTCAGATCAGGACCAGCTATTATAGCTATCAGCTGTGAGTTCAACCCCCATCCCCCTCATCCTCGTCGCCCTCCTCTTCCCCCTCGCCATCCTCCCCGAACTACCTACTCCCCATGGGGCGCCTCGCCGCCCGCCACCGCCACCCGCCGCCATCAACGCCATGACCGCCCTCGCCAATGCCCGCGCCATCCTCGGCCCGCGCCACTGCCAGCCCGACCGCCCCACGCCGCCATCACCGCCAGTCAGTTTACGTCCCCAAGGCACGCTGCACGACGGAGTCCGCGGCCTACCCCGTCCGATTCTGTGGGTTCGTCATCCAGGCGTTCCAGAGGTGCAAGCACATGACGCTCGCGGACATCGGGTGGACTAAGGAGATCAGCAAGGGGCGCCCCGTGGGGGTGCGTCGCGCGGCACCGCATTCGACCAGCAGTGCTGTAACGAGATGCTAATGCGCATGCTTAGGCATCGAGTTGCATGCACAACCAGGTCGAACGTGGCGACGCACAACGCACCCTCGAGGTACATCATCAAGAAGGCGGAGATGCGGGCGACGGCGCTGCTGCTCCAGGCCAAAGTGATGCCGAGCGGGATCCCAGCGGCCGACGCCGTGGGCCCCCAGATGCAGATGCCGCCGCATAAGGTCGGCGGGATTCGCAGTGATGGTGGTCGTTGACTGTGGCAATGACGTTGTGGTGGTGGTGATGATGGTGATGGGGATGGTGACGATGATGCTGATGATGAGGAGGATGAGGCGGAGGAGGATGATGATGATGATGAAAATTATGGTGAGGATGCTGATGATGTCAAGATGGGGGATCGGATGGGCAGTACACGATCGACCATGACGATTGGGGATGATGATGATGTTGGTGAATCATATGGTATCGTGGGGGGTGTGTATGATTCAGATGGTGGCGGTGGCGATGAGGATTGCGCCTGGGTGGCGCTGATGATGCTCACTGTGCGGTTGATGCTGATGATGATAACGATTGTGATACCGATGCCGATGACGATGTTGGTAGTGCTGGTGGGATGGTGCTGATGAATGTGATCATGACGGTGCGGGTGCAAGTCCTGGTGGTGGTGCTTGGTGTATACGGGGCATTGCCATGATGGTGATCACGGCGATGAATTGGATGAGGATAATGGCAACACGGATGGGTAATCAAACAAAGATCTCGTCACACAGGTGGGACCGTGGACGTCGCGACGCACGCGCGCCAACGACCACCGGTCGCCCCAGCCCGCCTACCGCGACATCAGGGAATGGGTTGCGACGCGGCGCTTCGACAGCGATGATGCGGCATCGCAGGGGGCGACGCCGCACCGCAATACTGGCGCGTCATCGTCGGGGGCAGTATCAGCACCAGCTGGTAGGGCGCAGGCCATCGACGTGAGCGATGACGACGCAGAGTGGGTGTGCACACTGTGCGCGAAGAACGTCGCAGGGGACTCGCCGCTGTGTCCGCGCTGCGTCGCCGACAGGAACGGGGCGCCGCACTGGACATGCCCCGCGTGCGCCGCGACGCACAACTTCTCCATCCAATGCTGCCCCGGCTGCTTCGTCACACAGCACGGGGCGCTCTTGGAGAGCTCGTCGAGGGCTCACGCGGTCATCCAGTCTGGAGGTGGATCAATTCAGTTCAGGGGAGCTGTTGTCGGAGGAGTCCGACCGAGTGCGTCGGCTGGCAGCGCATCAGACCACTCCGATGATGCGCCGCTCGTCGCCCCCGTCGTCCAGCCCGACTGGGGCGCGCGGGATCGGGCGTGGCTGCAGACCGCAACCGATCCGCATGATGAGAGGAGTCGGTCGCCACCGCGGGCGTCGCCACGGCGGGCGCCGACACCGCGGGCTCCGCCACAGAGGGCTCCGCCACCGAGGGCGTCACAGCGGGCGCCTACGATGCGCAGGCCAGCTGCAGCGCCGCCGCCAGCACCGTTGGTGGCATCACCGCGGGCGCCAGCACCGCATGTGCCAACGCCGTCGCCGCCAGCACCCCTGGCGCCGTCCTCGCCATCGCCGACGCCGATGGTGCCTCCAGCGTCGGCTCCAACACCGCTGACGCCAATGACGCCAGCGCCAACGACATCATCGCTGCGATCCAGGCGACCTTCTCGCCCAAACGTCCCCCATACCGTCTGGGACGAGCGTTACGATGATAATGATGATGATGATGATGATGATGATGATGATGATGACGATGACGATGGCGAGGATGATGATGATGATGGTGACGATGGTGGTGATGATGGTGAAGATGATGAGTATGCTGCTGATGATGCTGATGGTGGTGATGGTGATGATGGCGAGGAAGATCACGAGGATGATCACCTTGATGATGCTGATGATGATGATGAAGATGATGGTGGTGATACTGGTGATGACTATGGTGGTAGTGATGTGATGGTTATGATGCTGATGATGATGAGGATGGTGATGGTGACTGCTAATGCTGATGTCATTGGTGATGGTTAGAGTGGTGGTCATGGTGATGGGTATGGTGATGCGGATGAAGGTGACAACGATGATGATGGCGGTGTGGATGATGATGGAGATGATGATGATGATGCTGATACTGATGCTGACGATGCTCCTGATAATGGCAATGATGGTGTCGATGCTGACGATGATGCGGATGACGATGACGGCAACGATGGTGATGATGATGCTGATTCTGACGATGAGGGTGATGGTGGCAATGATGATGTTGATCCTGATGCTGGGACGGATGGGCTAGGAGGATGACGCGGAGCATGAGAGGGATGGGGAGGTGGATGAGGACACGGAGGCTAACGTGAGGAATTGAACCCGAAGGCTGCCGAACCCGTTCGTCAACCTGAGGGCGCTGCCGCCCCAGCCCGAGGAGGACGAGTCGGAGAGCGACTAATGGGACTTTAGTTTTGAATATTTCTGTGCCAGCTTGGCCGCGCTGACCACCCAAGTAACATAAAAACCACCAAATGACAGAAAATGCCGGAAACCACAACCACTGCGAAACCCTGTGTTTTTACATGTTTCTGGAGGCACTGAAATGACAGAAAAACCTGTCATTCGACAGACCGTCCAACCACATATATATATATATATATATATACGAAAAAACGACAATTCGGTTTATGTCATTTTCTGTCAGGCTGTTTCTGTCATTTTATGTCACCACACGAAAACCATATATATATATATGAAAAAATATAACGACAGAATGGTGACAGAAAATGACAGTTTTGGGAGCTCAGTTCGTGATCGCCCATGTGGACTGGTCGAGTGGCAGTGGACCAAGTCGACTGACGGGCAGGGGCCATGTGGGATGGAGGGAGTGTTGAATGGACATCGATTCTCTGGCTCACGGCACAAAACCTGGCCACCATCCCACATGGCGGTCGAGGGCCCTGTCATCTCAGCCCCAAATCTACTCTAACTGATTACCGCTCTACTCCGTAACTATCATGTCGAGGAGATCATAGAAGATTTATCGGACGTGGACTCGTTCTACTCAGGCTCGAGCTTGTCACACATGGGCGGTTTACATTCGGATGGAACCACGTGGTCTGTTGGAGGTTCTACGTTTGAGCCGTCGGGATGGTCTGCGGTCGGCGTGGGTGCTGAGCAAGACCTTGATACTTTCGATGTATAGGCTGGCACTGGGTGTGCGCGCTCAGGTCCAGCTGCGTGCAGCGCGGCGCGCCTGTCTATATAGTACTCATAGGGGCAGCAGGCCCCATCCATGAATTGAATGTTACAGGCGCGTGGTCCGCCTGATCCCTGATCAAAAAAATTCATGTCGGAGAAAGATTGTAATGCTCCTGGGGGATTCGCGCAACCGACCCTCGTCCCCAAGGTCTGGATCATGGTCGACCCCCACCGCGTGTATGGTTGATAGTTGTGGTGGTGCACGCGTTCGACACTAGTGAAAAGTTGTCTGACCAATCCGCCCCGACCACCCACCCCTGGACCCCGACCCCGACCATGAACACCATAGTCTGAAGCCAATACCTTGTCAGGGCAGCGTAGCGACCCCCTGATGCATATATCAGGGGGGCGCTACGCTGCGGTGAGAATCGTGTACGGCGGGGGGTGTAAGCAGGGATTAATGCTGAGCTCCAACGCTCCACCTCCTTCCCACTTGCATCGTCCCTGTGCGCCCCCCACCCCCCCATCCTCCCCACCGCCCTCCTACCTCTCGCACAAGTGTCGACCCGATTCGCGTTGTGCCCCCCATCCGCCGCCGTCGTTGAGCAGCCCGACCAGAGATTGGGCCGCCGCAACCTCGGCAGTCTGGCGCCGCCATGCCGCCGAAGCGGAAGGCCGAGGCGAAGGCGGAGGGGAGCGTCGGCAAGCGCACGCAGGCGAGGCTCGACGCCGAGAAGAAGGCTGCCGAGGAGAAGGAGCGGCAGCGCGAGCTGGATCTCGCGACCAAGATCGAGGCGCCGCCGCCGAAGGCCATCCGGGAGCTCTGGGCCAAGTGCGGCACCAACAAGCAGAAGCTGGAGGATATGCTGGGCAACGTGAACAGCAACGAGAAGAAGCCCCTCTTCAGCGCGATGAGCTACTTCTTGCGCACGCAGCCCCCCGCGCGCCACGAGCAGCGCAGCCAGGCCGCCCAGAACGACCAGGCGAAGGTGGCACAATCAGGGAGGAACGACTGACAGAAAAATCTGTCATTCGACAGATTTTTCTGTCGGCGCGCCCTCCTCATCATCATATCATCACCCTCCTCATTCACTCCGCGGCCTCCCCCTCGGCCGACTCCTCCGAACCCTCGCCGTATGGATATCGCTTCTCCCTGTCCCTCATTCCCCTTGTCATTCTCACATCGTCGGGTATCCTTACTCTGTCCGTCACCTCATCATTCACTTCCACCCTCCCGCCCTCCCACCCTCCCTCCTCTCTCGCGCTATACATCTCTCCATCGCTTCGCGCCGCCCTTCATCTCTCACTCGCTCCGCCCTCCTGTTTCGCATCGCATTCGTTCTCGTCATCCGTCGCGATTCCCAGTCACCTTCCCCATATCTGTACGGGGGAGGTGGCGCATATAGATATGTGCGTACATAGAATGCTCACCTCCCACCCCCGTTGGCGTTCTCACACAGTTGCAGTGGCTGATGCGCTTCGTCATCGAGCCATCGGAGGGCGGCTGCATCGCGAAGACCGACTTGGGACATTCAAACTATATCGTGGGTTGGAAGATCTAGAGTGTGAGTACGATGTGCATGATGATGATGCTGCTGATTATGATGATGATGTTGGTGTCGATTACGATGATGATGTGAATGATTACGTTGATGACAGTGGTGATGCGTATGCTGATGATGTTGGATGGTGATGATGATGATGATGATGAGGTTTATAATGATGATGATGATGATGATGATGATGATGATGATGATGGTGAGGATGAGGATGAGGATGATGATGATGACGATGATGATGATGATGATTATGATGATGCGAATGTTGGTCGTGACGATACTAGTGATCACGATGAAACTGATGCTGGTGAGGCTGGTGATGATGGTGGGGGCGACGACGATGCCGATGTCGATGCGAAGTGGGAATGTGACATGGTGTGCGGGGGAACGGACGTTCACCCCCCTCCATCATCTGGGTCGTGGTGGGATGATCGAGTAGACCGATGATGCGGATGGCAAAGCTGGCATGATGTAGGGTTAGGACTCGGGCGAATAGTACATGGGTGTGCATGGGAGTACATGGGTGGGATGGCTGATTGGAGCGGGAGCGGTGAGGATGCAGCTCCGATCTGGGATACTGGCACTGGTGTGGAGCCAGACAACCCGCCGTCCTCGGACCCACCTCCTCCGCATTCTCCTCCGCCTCCTCCTCTCCTCCTCATCCTCCCCCCCCCCTCATTGCACCACGTCGGGCCGCCTCCTCCTGTGGTTGGAATCGGTGACATCCATACCCCACAGGACCATCGCATCGACGTCCCGCGAGCGCACCGACGGCGCGATCGACGTGTGGCTCACGGAGGAGGAGCTGGCGGGGCCCAAGTACTTGAATTCGAAGGAGCGGTGTGGCTCTTTAATGCGCGGTCGCTCCAGCCCCGTCCTCCCCCGCGCCCCCGCCATCCTCAGCAACACCCCTGCCCCGAAACCATGTATTCCAGAATGCCATCGGACGACGCCCCCCTCGCGTATCGGCACCTCGCCGTTAGGGAGGGGCGAGGGGGCTTCGACTGCTGCAACCGCCAACATCGACGCTGGCTCTTCGAGCCGCCATCCAGAAGCTTCGGCAACGGACATCGGAGCGACGACGAGCGATCAGACGCGCGCAGCGATTCGATGTCGGGGTGCGACGGGGTCTGCGGGCACGTGTTCGCCCGAGGAGAACGCTGCCATGCTCAAGATGGAGCTGCCCTCGCGGCCGCACAAGCGCTCGCGGAGACCCCTTTGTTGTTGTGTTTGCGTGCGCGCTGTCACCGCATATGATGCCCTCGTCATCCTCCGCATCCCCCTCCACCTCATCCCCTTCCACATCCCTGTCATGCCCCTCCTCCTACACCTCCCCATCATACTCTCAATTCGCATCCATCCCGTCCCCGCATCCTCACCATCCCCATCCGCTGCCCCCCACTCCCATATGCGGGGATGAGGGTGGGCTGGGGTGGAACTGAAATAGTGGCTGATGTGTGCGGTGCGAGCACAGCACGACAAACGCACCAACAATCGGATCCAGCATCCTGCGCGACAACGGGGTCTTGGAGTACCACTACGTCGTGGACGCGGAGGGAGTCGTCCAGGACAAGACGAAGCACACGTCCATCGTGGAGCAGAGCTCGGGGCTGGAGATCGACGACGCGAAGTCCGCTGCTGCGGACCGAACAGGGCAACCGAGCATGTGGGAAGTGATGCGGATGCAGATGATACTGATGATGCTGATGATGATGATGGTGGTGATGATGATGATGATGACGACGATGACGATGCTGACGATGATGATGATGGTGATGGTGGTGGTGATGACGATGCTTATAATGACGACGATGGTGATGGTGCTGATGAAGATGACAACGGTGAGTTTGATGATGTGTATGCTGATAGTTTTGGTGGTGATGATGGTGGTGATGATGATGATGCGGCTGGTGATGATGACAACAATGATGATGATGATGATGATGAAGCTGATGATGATGATTATGAGGATGGCGATGATGTTGGGTGCTGTTGATGATGATGAGGATGTTGATGATGATGGTGACGATGATGATGCTGGTGTTGTTGATGTTGCTGATGATGATGGTGATGCTGACGAGCATGGCAAGACTGCGGAGGACGAAGATGGCGTCACCCGCCGCGTCGTACCAATTCAACGCACCCACCCTCCCACCCACCCACCCACCCCGTCCACCTGACTTTATAGTCGACGGATGGGGGCGACTGGTTTGTTTTCTAAGGTTCGCTCCACGTGTCTGCGACCGATGGCTATTCCTGGCAGGTGTTGCTTCATAGTGGCCGTGTGGGGCGTTATGCACAGCGTGAGGGAGTAGACAGCACATGATTCCTTATGAGATCTGTGCTCCAATCGTCTCGAAGCCCAACGGTCTTCCATGGTCTGGAAAGGTTCCCACTTGGTCCCCACCCCCACCCGCGCCCGGTATACTCTAGCCCAGGAGATGCTCAAGGGCCTCGACGGGTGGACCAATGCCGCGACTGGCAGCTCAAGCGACAGCAGCGGCTTGATCAGCGGCGGCACCTCAGCGCAGGAGAATCCCCCTCAGCACGACGACAAGGTCGCTCAGAAAGCGGAGCGAGCACGTATCAAGGAGGAGAAGGAGGAGGCCAGGAAGGCGGATGAGGAGAAGAAGGCCAGGGATGACGAGGAGGCCTTCCTCGGCTCCATCAAGGACTTGCCCATCGAGGATCAGATCGCCGAGAAGAAGAAGCGCGCCGACCAGATGGAGCTCAATGATGATAGGAAGAAGATGGAGAAAACGTTCCGCGACGCCCAGAACAAGACCATCGCCTACCGCTCGGTATGCGAGACCGATGTGCCGAACGTCGGGAAGGCCCTCGCTGCGCGCGGCTACCCCGAGGAGACGGGCCACTTCATCGAGTCCGAGAGCAAGAAGGTGCACCGAGAATATCACGAAACCATAGCAGTGGCATTGCCACACAGGTTGACCTAACACGCATGGTTTCATTGTCTTGGTGTCCCCAACGGGCGACGCTGCTCAATTTCCCCCATGCCACCGAGAACATGGTTTGCCCGCTCGGGCTGCAGTCCTCGGCGGCATGAGGAAAGTGCGCTATAGGGCCCACACAGGTGATGGAGCTCATCGCCACATTCGTGCGGGGTGTGCTCGCGAACAAGCCTGGATCCGAGGCGCGGGGCCGTGCGTTTCAAGCTACATTCCCGTCGCCCGTATCCTGTTCCTCCTCCTCCGTTTATCCCTCCTCCCCATCCTCGTCGATATCATCCTTATCATCCTCATCCCTGAGGCGTGGGCATCCGACGGCGCGGTGGCGCGGAGATGACAGCGCTTCGCGCGCGATGGCCTCGGGGACCGATCGGTGCAATCATTGCATGGGAATCGCGTTGCGCGACGTGGTGAGCGCTTAAGCACCGCCATAATGTAATTGTTAACGACTACCCATCTCGCTCCTCCTCAGCATCCTATTCCTCCTCGTCCCGATCCATCCTCATGCCCCTCCTCTAGCTTCAATGTGTAGTGCTCCGCATCCTCCTCGTGTCCCTCCTCATCCTCCTGGTCCTCCTCCTCCTCTATCCCTCCTCCTCATCAACCTCCTCGTGCTCATCCATCTCCCCATCTCGCCCCCCATCGTCATTGATTGGTTTGTCCGAGCAAGGCAGCGCTCACGAAGGACGAGATCTCTCAGCACACTTCGAAGGTGAAGGCGGAGCTCGCCATGGTCGAGGCCGCCTGGAAGTCCTTCGAGCGCAGCTGCTGGAACGATTTCAAGAAGCTCTCAGAGGTCGCCAGCTAGGCAGTTCACTCCTTGCAAAAGTAATGCGCATCTACCATGTACACCAGAAACCAACAATCGGTCGCCCGTTGATTTCCGCCGCACGTTGCCCATCGTTCATCGCCAATCGTCCGTAGTCGGCTTCGTTGGCGGCGTCGATCGTCGTCAGCGAAGCCGACGTCGTTATTGAATCCTCGTCCGTTGCATCGTCTGTCGTCGTTGTTGGCCCTCGGCGGCTCCGGAAGATTGCATTGCTTTTGCAGACCGACGTGGTGTATGCACGCACGTCGGCGGTCAGCGCTGCAGCGCTCTGTATCTCGCGGGCGAGGTGCGGTTTTATATACGCAAGGCGGGTGACATCACCGCCCTCTGCTCGCTGACAGCTTGTGGTACGATGGAATGGGCGGGAGGGGCGAGTATCATGATGCTGATGTCAGTAATGACACTGATGATCATGATGGCCGTGGTGGGACTCGGGGGGCGGGGCGACCGCGCGTCGACTTTTTGCGTGCACGGGTTTCTCTATACACTGCTGCGCCGCAGTGACGTGCTGGGTCCGTGCAGGGGGCGCAACAATGTACATCATATAACGCAAATCGTACCACTGGTCGTTCTAGAATTTCGCATTCGCACGCTCGGGACATGTCGCAGTTTCGGATCAGGACCCAGTTTTGGAG